CTTGTTGTAGCTGATGCACTGTTGTATTTTGAGCACTTTTGTCCCTCGATCAACATTTGTCACATGAGAGCACATCCTGTGCCTCCGAATTTTTTTATCAGTCGGTGTACTGTTGCCTGAATCGGTACTTTCCTGGCAGGATACGTAATATTAAATGCACCACGAAAACCAATAATTAATTTTAGGAATGAAACCAGGTTCTGCTTGTGAATACACCGTATTCGTACCTGCATAGCTTACGCGCAAGTGACGTCAGCAGCGGCCTAGCAGAAACGGTGACTTTAACTAGAGTTCCACGGAGGTGGTTGGGAGACTATTAGCTACACAGGATGGACTTGCTGTTGTTTCGTTGCGCTGAAAACCTTATACCCTGCAGATTACATATGTGCAAATTCTATAACTGATTTTATCCATTTTAAAATACAAAAAAACAACAACATGGACTTGTATCTTAAATCACAAGCATTAATGACGAGAGAGTCGACATACAGACGAGTTAATTACTAATTTCAGATTTTTTCTGAACTGAACAACGGGCTTTTATCGGAACTTAGTGGCAAGTGAGCTACACCTAAGTGATATTTCAGATTCTCAAGGTTACAGGTATAAATATGACTGTCTTCTGGAAGGTTGCACCGTATAGTCTCTTTAAAACTTATCGACATTTCGTCGGTGCGTGCTGCTGCCATCATCAGTGCGACCGTCACCATGGTAAAAAGGGCAGTGAGCATCTCTGAAACGTCGGTTACTTCTTATGAAACTACACGCCGTAACATATAACAACACAGTTATCTTCGAGTTACACTTATGTTTCACATTCGAGAACCTCCTTTGCAAATTTCAAATAATAATTACGTCTCACATAACCGCATCGATTTACAAACATCAGTACCTCAATGGTTTTATAAAAAATAATCGCTTTTATGTCTTGAAGCCAGAAAGAATACAAATATGATATATAATATATATGGGAGAAATGTTGAGTTATTGAACTGTAAAGCACGTGGTACATATATTTACCACAGTGCTAAATGGTGTGGATACCATAATTTCGCTTTCTCCATATACAGGCACAGACAAGCCTTTGTGTTTTTTTTTGTTTGCGCGCGCACTCGTGCGTGTGTACGTATATATATATTTTATTTAGATATCAATACTATGTTTGGTAGTTACCTGTCACCACGACATGGCACGTCCTCAGCTTGCGAATGGAGGAACAGCCTCCAGTTATGGAGGTTAGCTGTGAATATATTAAATAAGCAGTCGCGGACAGACGACGGAGGGTGGTTCTCCAGCTTGGGGGCTGGGCGTGAGACTTACAACCTTTCACTGCTAATAAGTGCGTTGTTACGAAAAACATAATCAGTCTTCGGAACCGGACGGACTCCTTGACACGACAATGACAAAAGGAAAAGGATATGAGATTTGGAACGTGGAAACATTAGGAGTCTCCATAGGTCAGGGGCACTGAAATCAGTGATCAGGGAATTAGAGAATTACAAGTTAGTTTTTGTGGCAGTGCAGGAGGTGCGATGGGAGGGGGAGGGCGTGATCGCAGTGGAAAATTTCACACATTTCTATAGAAAGGGGAATGATATACATCATTTAGGGACAGACTTTTTGTTCATAGCAGAATTAGGGCAGCAATTAAGAGAGTAGAATTTGTTAGTGACCGGTTGTCTGACGTAATTTTGGGAGGACGTTGGTGCGACATCATTATTCTTAATGCGCATGCCCCAACTGAAGGAAAAAGTGATGATATCAAGGATAGCTTTCATGAAAAATTGGAATCAGTATTTGATACATTTAGCAAATATCACATGAAAATTATGCCAGGAGATTTCAATGCAATAATTGGAAGAGAGGATATTTTCAAACCCACAATAGGACAATAGAGTTTGCATGAACTTAGTAATGACAGTGGCCTTACAGTAATAAAATTTTCCACGTCAAAAATCTAATTGTAAAGAGTACAAAACATCCACATAACGATGTTCATAAAGACACGTGGAATTCTCCAGATGGTAGCACACAAAATCAGAAGCATCATGTTTCAGTAAATAATAAAGGGTATAATTGATAGGAGGTCATTCAAAGGAGTAGATTGTGACACTGACCATTATCTGGTAGTGGCAAAGTGAGGGAGAGAAGTTCAGTAAGTAAATGAGCTAAGAAAATTTTTGAAGCACAAAGATTTGATTTAAAAAAATAAACGAGTTAGAGGTAAAGGAGCAATTACAAGTTGAAATTTCGAATAGGTTTCGAATGTTAGAGAGAGATAAAGATAATGAATGCATGGACATCAACAGGGAGTGGGAAAATGCCAGAAACTACATCAAAATTTCAGCCAAAGAAAATTAGGAGACTACAGGAGAAAGAAAAACAAACAATGGTTTGATGAAGCGTGTTCAAAATTATTAGATTGAAGGAAGCCAAAAAAAAAAAAGACCGCAAACAAAACAAATGCGGATGATCTATGTAACGTGAGACGTGAAGCTAGTAGAACCTTTAGGAATAACAGAAGGTAATATCTGAAAGGCAAAATTGTTGAATTTGAAACAAATAGTAAGGACAAAATTATCAGAGACAGATACAGGTATGGAGTAAAACTGCATAATGATGAGCTTAAAAATCTGTATTAATTCCCCAATTTTGTCAGCGTGATTAAGTCAAGATGCATGAGATGGGCGGGTTATGTGGCACGATTGGTTGGGCAAGTTGTATACACCTTAATCGTCGGGAAGCCTGAAGAGAGGAGACCGCTGGGGGGACCTGGACATAGTTGGGAGGATAATTTCAAGCAGAATCTATGGGAGATAGAAGTTGAAGGTGATTGGATTGTGCTGGCCCAGGACAGGGTCCGGTGGAAGGCTTTGGTTAGTTCGGTGACGAACCTTCGAATTCCCTAAGTCCTCTAGGTAGTTAGTTAGTTACGCTTCATGCCTTTCAGTTTGTTCGACTCTAAATCTCAGTTCTCATGTCCACATTTTCACTTACGTTTGTCACAATTGACACAGATTGCTTTTCCGGTTGGTCTTCGCGGACAAACAGCCGGTACCTTGAAGTTCTGATAACTATTCCCAAAAATCTTCGAATGTCCATAGCCCACTCTAGAAAATGATAGGTCTGGTGGCTGGTCACACGTTGTCGCCGGAGGTAATTTAGAAATTAACATTCATACTTAGTTCCTTACTTTGTTTTATTTCATATCATTGTCATTGTGGTGTTGTTCATTGCAGGTGAACGCTTTCCTGAATACAATTTCATCGAATCCCCCCGTGATTTCAGTGGCTGGGTTCTTTGATGTAAACAGAGAAATGCTCAGATCGGTAAGTTTGAGGCCGCCATATCAAATACAATGTATCTGCATTACAGTCACCATTCTATAGTTATTTTTCACTATCTTTTTATCTTCATGCTTATCACTAAACGGTAAGAATCGTTTTAAATAAGAGCCCGAGAATTCCTACTTCAAACTTAACGGAGCAGAGTCCTTCTGAAGCCAAAATTCGTTTGTGTAGTACACTCCCAGGTCCTGATGAAACCCCAAAAATTTATCATTGATGTTCACAACAGCCAGTCAATGGACCCTCTCCCGGGCCGTATGAATCCAGTCTGCATTCTCACACTACAATTATTGAATATATGGTGTATTTTATTATTACTTCCAGTTCTAATATTTAGGTCTTCCAGTTTGTCTCTTATCTCCAATTAAAACCGACTAAAATTTTGTACGCGCTTATCTCATCCGTATCGATATCATCACTCTAATTATAACATAAACAACATCATAATTTTTACTTTTAACCACATATTAGGGTAATTAAATCAAATAGGATAAGATTGATGGAGAATTAAGCACGTATCGAAGACATGAAAATTTCAGGTGAGATTTTAATCAGAATTAGGAACAGATGGAAATATAGTATTAAAACGGATCTTACAGAAGCAGGATATTTAGATGAACCTACACACATGGAAGAGATTAAAATGCGTACGAAATTTGATTCACAAGAACAGGTCGTAGATAATATTGAAATGGCTCTTAATCATACAGAGTATAAAGTTGTGCGCACATGAAGGAGATAGGAATTTTATTCATAAAACGTAGGCTTAGATGGAATACTATTATCAAAATTTATATAAAATAAGATATAACGTAACGTAACGTAACGTTTGTCCCACTATACGCCATGTAGGCGTTTGGGGGGAACCCCCGGGAAAGGCCCCCGGTACCCATGGTAGAGGAGGCTGGGTGGGCCCCAGAGCCGGTCTGGACGCAGAGGCTAGAGGAAAAATCCTCTGCTCCGGTCGGGGATAGAACCCCAGTCGTCCAGCCCGTAGCTAGTCACTATACTGACTGAGCTATCCCGGCTCATAAAATAAGATATGGAGGTGTGAATTTCATTCATCTGGCACAGGTAAGAAACCAATGAAGAGCTCTTTTGAACACCATAATGAAACTTTGGGTTCCATTAAAGACAACCACTATTAATTTTCCAAAGACTGTTTCCAGGATTTGGTTACGCCAAAGAATTCATGCATATTGAACACCTGATGATCTACCGGTCGAAGTTAGACAATTAAAGGTGCACAGCACGTCGCACAACAGAACAATAAAATTACACTATGAAATACTTCTAGATCCATTCCTATTGTGGTTATATTATTAACGTATTCAAGTCGTAATTTTTTACTGAGTGTCCCACTGCTTTCTTACAGCATGCTTCTACAGTGGTTACGTATATGATAGTTCTACTGCAGTTCAACATGGGACAGCCTAACGACCGTCAGATGAATGCAACTCAAAATACCATTAAATAGCATTTAAGCATTAGACATTCCACAAGGGAACCAGCACAATTAGACCTATTATATAGAAGAGAATAGCATACCGCCTTATTACACGTAGAACGTCCATAAATAAAAAAAATCGAAATATAATTGTTCTTGTTATTATGTAATATTTATTAGACTTCTATAATCTGCCTATTGAAATCTCAAAGAGAATTTAGACAAGACAATATATACGCAACACAAAATTCCTTACGAAGCAAATATGAACTTTTTATATTAAACACACATCTTAAAGCCTGTAATTCAACTAAATATAATGAAACAGATCGATACACACAAATGTATATATATCTTACACGCATGACAACATAAATTTGTTATTTTTTTAAAATATACAATGAATAAGTTAGTATATTACATGGACTCAACAAGTACATTTTACGAACAGAACACTTCACATTTTAAATTTGCTGTTCACATTCTGAATCTAAGTCCCAATAACATGGCAGCAACTACAAGAGACTTTTACAAGAGACAACTTACACAGCAGCAACTAATCGACATACACACACAAACATGTGCAACTGGAGACCGTTGACAGCAAACTGAAGGCCCGAATATTGCGGAATTGATCGTCTCTTGTTTCTGCCTCTGAGTACTCTACAGGCACATTTCGTACTAACATATCTTGACTAGCACACGTGAAAGCTTCACTGTCATACGGCTGCGCGTAGACGGAAAAAGAATGAAAACACGAATCTTAAAACAGACATAAAATGAGGATGTGAATTTGATTTGTCTGGCTAAGGATAAGCATCAGTCGTGCGCTGCTGTCAACAATTTCCATGAAGGGAATTTATTTTCTTGTTTTTTAATAGTGTACTTTGGTTACACAATTAAGATTGCACTGCATGATTAATAATTACGGACATCAATCTGTGACTCTAAATAATAATAATAACAATAATAATAATTTCATTCACTAATTTGTTAAAGTGCATAAAAGCATTAATAAAGCGAATTACAGACAAGCACTAAAAGGAGAATCGACACAAAAAATTAATATTCACACAGCAAAATTTCAGTTAGAACAACATATGCATATAAAATTTCCCAATTCCTTTACAAATACAATGTTTATTGTTAGGATTCTCTATTGAAATTCACGTTTTATCCGATTCGGCCTCTCCCATTTTCATCTGTAGCAAGACAATGAGGTACGTAAGCATTGCTGACGCAAACTAGAACACAAAAACACAATTTGGTGCGTGAAATAAAATAATATGTAAGTCTGATTCAGTTTTAAAGTGAAAAATACGGGCACAGAGAGACAGAATATTAGGTCCACCAAATAATTTTAAAGTGAGAGAATTAACTTCAAATGTGCGAAAGTATGTTGCAAAAATATGATCTACTATTGCCTTACCAGTCACACACACACACACGAACGCACGCAGGCGCCTTTGTGTCTGCAAATATGCATGATTAGAGTTATAATATACTTTCTTCCCTGTATTGATCATCTTCTACCTGAAGATGGAGACAATACAATCTTTCTGCACGATGATAATAAACTACAAGTCTATAGGTCGTCACAATAAAGAAGATTATATTTTGCATAGGCGTATATGACGTTACAGAAATAAACTTTTTCTTTTGTCAAATATACACTTCTTCTTCTTCTTCTTCTCTTGCACTACAGCCCTTGGTGGGCTCTGGCATCCCGAAAAATATGTCCCCATCTCTTCCTATCTTGAGCTACCTTTTTCCAGTTGCACACTTTCATCTTTCTCATATCTTATTCCATGTCGCCATTCTCAAATCATTTGCCTTATTTCGTAGCTCAGTTCGTCGCCGAGTTTGATACCTATTCCGAGGCCAATTATCGGGTTTCTCTAAAATGAAATATTTTTCGGGTATCAGGTCGTCAGCCTAATGCCCCCACCCCCAACCTGAAGGACCAGTGGGCTGATCTTTGTCTGCTCCCTGCCCTTCGACCTGTCTGGCTTGGGTGACCCTACCAGGAGCTTAAGCTCCCGCCAGCATAGCTCTCAGGGTCCTAGCGAGACACAAACCTCCCCGCCACCTTAAGGTGTCAGCCCTCGGGGAGGTCAAATACCCACGAGAATAATTAAATTATAATATGTTATTGTATTGTAAGTAGTTACATACTCACCGAAGCGAACAATCTTCTGTTTATATTTGTAAAACCCAGCACTGATATCACTGGAGGATTCATCGATATCGTTCCTAGAAAGTTGTTTACCTGGAACAATATATAATAGATAATTACGAAAGATTTATTCATCTCACAAAGTATTATTAAGCTGTAAAAATTCATTATTCCTACTTAATAAATCTTTTGGTATTTTAAAATTTCGTAAAAGTACAGAATTGTGTATCTGGATAAGAACTACAAGGAAGAACGTGCTCCAGATGTTAATTAATAAACAGTTTCCTTCAAAAACAGATTATGTATTTTAATATCATCTCCATAAAAAAAAACGTACGAAGATCATTTATATCTCGTTCACAGCTGATGTAATGAGAACAGGATATTTGGACTGAGACCGAAATGTAGCCTACCTGAACTCAGTTACTTCAAAGAGTAAATATTATTAGGGTGGTGATGAGTAAGCTTGATTACATCTGATTGTATGTTTCTCTACAAACAAAAACGATATTTTTATCGATTAATAATGCAAAGCAATGCTTTAAAATCTCTGAATGTTGATATGTCAAAGAAATACGAGAAGCATTTTTCTTCTAATTAGGCAAACGAAGAAATTGCTATAAATGTTGTAAATTGAAGAGAAGTTTAAACACACACAAAACAGCTTAGCCCTTTCCAGCTTCTTGAAGAATGTAGTTGGTGGATTTTTCCACAGGCTGGATTGTTTTGCCAACTTCATTCTTGTATATTTATAGCTTTCCCCCATTGTCAATGAGCCAACTAACCTAATAAGCATATCAGTTGTCTAACTATCGACATACAGCACGTAAATATAAGAAAGAATAGATTCTTCGTGTTTTCGGTAGGGCATTTTACTGGAATAAGCCTTTAAGTCAAAAAAATTGATAAAAGAAACCTGTTACGCCTACCCCAAAATGTTACTAACTTGATAAACCGATGAACTGGACTATTTGTTTTCAAAATAATAACAAGTTAAGTAATTGAATGAAACACGTCGTCTAATATCTTCTCGTCATTTTAAATTAACTGAATATTGGATGTAGTATAAGGTCATCACAGTAGTTGGAGCATCCGATATTCTGGTATATTCCAACTGTGGTAGTGAATAAAATTCAAAAATCTAATTTCATATTCATCTAGCCTATTAACCACCAATGGACATTAATTTAGGCGCCACATATCACATTTTAATTGCCTCTGTCAATACTTTTAATACCTGCAATTTAATGTTTCTTGTGAGTCTCAACATCTTGAAGAGAAAATGGATTTTGACTTCATTAACAACCCTTATCGAATGGCTTATTTAAACGCAATTCAGGACAAAAATGGAAAATAACCCATTAAAAGTGTGACTGCTGTTTCTCAGAGCACGATACATTACAAATAAATTGCAAAACTGACCTCAAATATGAATTTTGCCTCTCATCGACTTATAAGCGTCACTGTCACTGCACGAAGAAAATTATTACTTAGGTTTTCAGTTTAGTAGCGACAAAATCTGTCACGTGATTTGCTACTTTACCATAGAATGTAGTTATAATGCTCATTATACGTTTCATTTTGTTCTATAAGCCGGTTAAAGAAAGAGTCCATGAATTGACTCCTGTAAATTAAACAATAAGCTAGACTTTGCTTAAGGCAATTCAAGGAATGGTCATGTCTGTTAGAAAGAGAGGTGTTTGCACTCTTAATAGAATGACAAATTTATCACTGCTGAGATACTGAATGTAATTCCTATAATCTTGAAATTGCGACACCATTTTATGTTTATCGATAATAAAGAAAGTTGTCCATGAGAAAGAAACATTTTATTGACGAAAACTAATATAATATACGCTCCAAAAACACAAACCTGAATTAACGAAAATGCTTTGAATCATTAAATTTCTGCACTACTTTCCAGCATCCTTCGATAATTCGTACTCCATGCATATACTGACCTCCTGCTGTATGTCCTGCCTTCTGCACCATGTTGTGATATGATGTAACTCCTTCTGAACTTTCGTTTCGACCTGCAGTAACAAACAAAGTTGTAAGTATTTGAGACGTACTGAAATTTTGACTTTTATTTCAATTAAAATTGACATATGGCCGACGATTGCCATTTCACTTTAGATTTTGTGAGTGTGTACGTGTTGATGTGGGGGTGTGGTCACCGCCATCTATTTTTGACTTTGTGCATACAGTGACGATTTCATACAAGGAAAAATACATCCATGGATTTCTTTAACTTGTAATATTTTAGCCCAGCTTGATCTAACTTACAGTTGTCATAATGTAGTCCGCCTGACTGCAAATACAGTAGAAAGGGGCTACAAACAGAAGTCCGACCACGCCTATAACAGTCATCGTCACGTTTCTGCTGGAGTGACCATCGCTGATCCCAAACAGGAGTCCGTACAAGCACATGACGAGGCCAAAGAGAAGAATTGAGACGTGCAGAGCTAACAGAGTTTCCGTCGCAACTCCTGCAACAAAACAAGAAAATTCTTCATACTGCCTCCGTCATCAGGGCGATGAGTATGAAGATTTCTGTCTTCTGGGTTATTGCGCTGTGTAGCCTGGTCGATATTAATCAACGTTTCAGAGGTCATACTGCATCCGTCAGCAGGGCGATGAATGAACCTGATGACGGTGTCAGTATGACCTCTGAAACGTTGGTTAACATCGACCAGTCTACACAGCGCAACAACCCAGAACACAGAAATCTTCATACTCATCGCCCTGATGACGGAGGCAGTATGACCTCTGAAACGTTGATTAATATCGACCAGGCTACACAGCGCAACAACCCAGAAGACAGAAATATTCATACTCATCGCCCTGATGACGGAGACAGTATGACCTCTGAAACGTTGATTAACATCATCCAGACTACACAGCTCAACAATTCAGAAGACAGAAATCTTCATACTCACCGCTGTGAAAACCTCAAATCTTACAGTTTAGTAGTTGTGTAATATTTTTAAACAGCGCTGACACTATTACCAGTGACGGCGACTGCAATAAAGATATGCGTTTCTATTACATGTACGACCTCGCTTTTACACTATCCTGCCATAGGAGTTATCACAGCCTCGCTTGATTTCTTGCTACCAGAGTCGCCACGGTCAGAATTTTTAATTTTAGTTTTTCGGCATGTCAGTAAAGACGAACTCTTGTAATCAAAAACGACTCGCACTGGCTATAATATTAAAAATTAATAGATTGATAGAGTATTAGATATTTAATTAAATAAAAGTTTGGAAGAATATTTTACTAATTATTAGATTTGACATATGTACTGTAATTAGCCAACTGAGACATACTACACACCTATTAAATAAACATTAAGTTCGACATTGTAAGTAATTTCCGTAATCATGTGACCCAAAACGCAGTGTATCAAATGTAACAGGTTTAAGTCACAAGGCGGAGTGATACAAAAATGATCTTACCTGCTCCTGACACCAGTTCACTCAAACGCATCCAGAGAATTCTGTACTCCCCTATCATCTCTGCAGACACGGTTCCTTGTTTTAATTTACTCTGGAAAACGAAGATTAATTTATTTACGTTAACAAGATTAAGTATGTCTACTTGCATTCCAAAATTATAATTTAGTACACAAATCTCTTATACGAATATCATGGTGAGGGAATCTATATGTAAATTGGAATAGAGTCACGAAATCTTAAAGTATGATGCCGTAAACAAATGAAAATAATTTATGACAAAATTAAAGAATTTAACGCTGATGATGTTCAGCTGAGAACAGACATCTCCCACGTTCTGAATTATATGTCATATGCATACCGGCCGATATATTATATCCGTTATTAACGTAAACTACTGCCCTGTAGCATGAAAAAGTATTTTACAAAATTTGAAAGATGAGTTCTCAATGGCAATATTTTAACAGAGGAGAAGTAAGGATTGGGATTAAAATATGCGAAGTTCTAATCCGAGACTCCAAAGTAACAACATATATACAGTGTACCAACGTATACGAAAACATGTTTGAAAAAAAAACAAAGTTTTATAAACAGGATTGTGTCGAATCCAAATAATTATTAATTTGATTATCTGTTTTATATCTTTACCTCGACATCAAGTTAAATATGAAAGAGATTATGTATTCAAAGTTTGTTTTTGCCTTCTCATGACACTTTCGTGAATATCATTTCTAAACGTACGACATCACAAAGAAAACAAACCATTTAATTGCAGACAAAGTAGTACAAAGTACAGGAAAAGGCAAAATATGATTACGTGCGTGGAGCTAAAGGTGAAGCTCCAGCAATTCTTAACCTAGGAAAAAGAACGAATACACAACTAAGTACATAATATAAATTTCAGTTCTTCGGACTTTGTGGATCGTTTGATCTCTACACCCCATATAGGTCGCTTGTGAGGAGAGGTATATATAGCTCGTACTCATTCTTGAATCGGCACTAGATGGGGCTGAGTGGTCACCATCACGCCCCGGACGCGTTTTTCCCCCTGGTAAAGGAACCCGGTACCCATTGAAGAAGAGGCTGAGGGGGCCCCAGAACCGGTAAGGTCGCAGAGGCTAGGGGAAAAATCGTGTGCTTCCGTCGAGGATCGAACATCAGCCCATAGCTAGTCAATGTACTGACTGAGCTATCCCTGAGCTCCTAAAATATCTAGTTGTGAAAACCAAAAAATGTGTCAAAAAATTTTCCATTAGAACACCTGAATTTTTTAGACCTGTTTGTCTGAAACCATTCCCAGTTGCTACGTGCAAACTCAAATGTACCTTGAAACATGTCGCGTATTTGCTGCCCGCTAACGCAAGGCTGTGGAAAGTGATCATCCAGTAACTAACCATAATTTCCGCCAATATGCCTGAAAACATATAACTAGGTAGGGCTAATAAAGGAACTCTTGGTTCGTAGAAGTAAAAGAAGATAGTTGCAGTTCCTCCCAAGCAGCTGAGAACTGCGTAGCAAATACATCGCCTTCGAACGGACAGTACCAACAGCTGCCCAGTGACTTTTCGGAACAGTATCTGCAACAAAGGGTTGTGTCAATACAACTTTTGCTCAAATCAAATGGCAAAACAACTCAAGCCAACATTGGTGTGAAAAAATCAATTGTGAGCTTGCGAAAAGAAACCATCACCAACAATAACAAACAGCCTTGAACCTTTATTTTCTAATAAAAACAGGTGATATTCTATTCAGAATCCCAATAAGTTCTATGATAAAGGAATCTAGTAAGTTGGACCTATTAGGATTGTCTTTGGGAAAAATTGATACCATAACGAAATGCAATTAAGTGTTTGTTCTCAGAACATGAAGCATGTAAGAATGGACTCGTAGCTGTGGCAGTGTCCGAAGAGTTAGATTACAACGCCGCTTTAATCCGGCTGGTGGCCAGAGAATGCGTCACTGCATTCAGTCACCATCAAAGCTTCAAATCTTACAATAGTAAGGAAAATGTTATATTTTGTTAGTGATAACTGGTAAATCCTGTGATATAGCTTGTGACATCAGACTTTTACTTCATGACAAGCTTTATACAAACATAGATTACGAGGTGCGATCGAAAGGTTTCTAGACTGCGCGTATAAAAACCCGTACACTTATCTCAGGTATTAAATTCATCCATCACCCTCGAAGTAGTTCCCCTGGGAGTGAAC